AATAAATAGAATAAAATAAAAAAGTGGTACCGTGCCTAATAGTGCACAGACCAGGCCCTGAGGCCTGTAGCAAAAATTGCCCTGGACTTAGCCAAAAGACCTGGTCCTTAGGGCGCTGTGCAAAAAGAAGTGAAAAACAGTGGCCATGTGTCATCTTCACACCGTGGGGTCCCACACCCAAGTGTTACTAGTGACACACCCTGAGAGCGTCTTCCCCAGGGGGCACTGAGTTTGCGGACTTTTTGCGTCCCCAGCCCCAGGCCAGACCAAGGTAGCACGTTCAAATCAGGAGGTACTGGGTCTTTCCGGTCTCCCCAGAGGAATTACTCCCAAGGCCCCAGAACGAATCATGGCGCTCCCTGGTTTCTGTCCCTCCGGTACTAGCCTTCCGGACCCCCATCATACCAGTGAGGGTACTATACAACAACCATCCCCGTAAACTAGAATGGTCGGGAGCACCCCCACTGGACACTGATAAGAACAGATACTACACTTGATCTTAGCCAAAAGGCCGAGAAAACCTTCATAGGTACTGCCGTGTTGATCCAGGGAACCACCGCTTACATCAGCCGACATATCGCGGGTTCCAACCTCTCCATGACGCCTGTACAGCCTTTGCATGACTCATGGCATGTGAAAATGGCTACCTCCTTGTAGGTCGGCGTGCGTATCACCTAGTGCGCATGACCGGAAGTGACGTATCTGACGTATGACGTCAACGCGTTTCGCCGATGGGCGTATCTCACTCAGCTTCGTCAGGACCAATGAGATTACTGCATTTCAGCTTCCTATTTATAGTGGGTTAAAACCCACCCACTTATGCAAATAATTAACTTGCAGTTATTCTCAATGGGAGAAAAACGGCTAAATACTTAGCACAACAGCTGGTCATTATTAAATTAAAAGGACAGGTGACTGGATATATTAAAGAAAGGGAAGGCTTGGCAATTCCATCAATGCAAAGAGAAATAAAAATAATAATTAATTAAAAAATAAAAAAATTACCACACATTCACCAGAAGATGGCAATATTAATGGAAAAATTTCCAAACCTGGTCATTAAGTCAAAGGCATCTAAAGTCACAATAGTAATTACCACAAAACCACCAATATGGCGATATTAATTAAAGAATCCCTCTGAGGGTTATTTTACCAAAGATACCTAAACCTTAAAGAAACCACTTATTAATAGACAGCTATTTTCAAAGGAGAGGAGAATAATTAGCTCAATAATCAATCCCTTTTCCACTTCTAAACTTATATTCAAATATATACCAACTGGCCACAAAATACCTCCCCAGACAAGAAAGGTTTATTTAATACTTTGGCGTATTGTCTAACCATTGGTGGAAATAGAGAGTTACTCGAGATTGGCCAAAAAATGGCAATATGAAAATATATATCCATATAGATCTATTTATCCAAAAATACCTGGAGATCACATTCAACATTTAACCCCTTTGGGTACAATGTATCAAGTTAATAAATCCAATATTTCTCCTTTTTTAGTAATTCCTTATCAAAATCACCTCTCCTTTGGGGAAGATGCAATGCATAGAAACCTTTCACTTTTGTACCGTCCAGTTTACCTCCATGATACTTAGCATAATGTTGGGCAAGATTACTTTCGGGGTCATTAGATCTGATATCTCTAAAGTGTTCACCTATTCGTACTTTAGGTTGTCTTTTGGTTTTACCAATATACATCTTTTTACAAGGACAGGTCAAAATGTATAATACTCTCACTGTGGAACAATTTATAAGACTTTGAATTTTATAGTGAGTGTTATTTTTTGAGTCATGGAAGGAATCTGTGCGATCCACATATTTACAAATTTGACATTTTCCACATTTATACATCCCTTTAGTACGTGATTTTAACCATGTTGTCTGTATTAACGGTTGGTAGTCAGAATGGATAAGGAGGTCACCAAGATTTGGTGCTCTTCTTGCTACCATTTGGGGGCGCTCACCTACAATTTTACTCAATTTGGGACATTGGGTTAAAATCTTCCAGAAGTCCACATGTCGTGGTGAAGAAACCATTTAAAGCAGATTTCTGCTACTGGCATCTATCTTTCCATCAAGGCAACAACAGGGACTCTTTTCATTATAAGAATCTTCAGAATCAGTCACGTTTATCACAGATTAATGGGCCCCAACCACTTGTGCTGATATAGGGTTGTACTGCATTATTTATGTTATATCCACCCATTGCCTATTTTAGGCTTATGGTTATGCCTCTCATTTGACGAATACTGTGCTCGCTGTATTACATGCATGTGATATGATATACCCTCGGTATAATTTTTGGAAACCCCCCCCTCTATATGGGGTATAACCTATACGGTTATGACATATGTCTATATATATAGCATGTGACATTGCATACCTATGGTATAATTTTTGCATACACCTCCTTTTGGAAGTGTTACCTATGTGCCAGTGCTGCAAGGACTTTAGACCATTGTGGTCATAGCCTTTGTAGCACATTTATCCAGACCGGTCTTGGTGTGATTTTATATGGTTTTAGGTCTGTGTGTATTGTCTCATACTGAGGTGATGGTAAACCAGGGCGACTGCCCTTATGTCAAATATTCATGTTTAATAAAGCATATTTTTTGGAAATTATTCTGAGTATCACATTCTGTTCATAATGTAGCCGCTTTCCTGTGAATCTCTTTTCACAAACTTTTTTTCGTTTCTGCATCTCATGGGGCCCCCTACTGACCCCGGGCCCTCGGGCGGTGCCCGAGTTTCCAAATGGTCAGTCCGCCCCTGGTTACGGCGCTTTGTTACTTTAACTGACAATTGCGCGGTCATGCAACGCTGTACCAAAATGAAATTTACGTCCTTTTCTCCCCACGAATTGAGCTTTCTTTCGGTGGTATTTGATCGCCTGTGCGTTTTTTACATTTTGCGCTATCAAAAAAACAAAAGGCTAACATGAGAAAAAAAAACAATATTTTGGACTTTTTTGCCAGTAAAATAAATTAAAAATCAAATTTGGTCATAAATTTACGCCAAAATGTATTCTGCTCCATGTCTTTGCTAAAAAAAAAAAAAAAAAAATCCCAATACGTGCAAATTAATTGGTTTACGTGAAAGTTATAGCGTTTACAAATGATTTTTTTTTTTTTTTATACTAATAATAGTGGCGATCAGCGACTTAAAGCTGGACTGAGGCGGACATTGTGACACTGGGGGGAACTGACTTGGTGCTTCACTGTTACACACTGATCCGGAAGGCTCTTCTCAGCAATCCGGAACAGTGTGTGATGGATTTGGTAAAATGCCTATTTGGTTTTCTGCTGAATATATACATTTTCTATACATTTTATACATATCTACTTTTATACTTTTTCATATCTCTAAATATTTTGTATGAATATATATATGTGTTGTGTGTATATCTTTTGTCTGCTGATCTTTGCAGTCCTCAACTCAAAAATGTTTGTTCAGCGATGTTCTCAACCCCTCCCGTCGAGCTGTGAGGATCTTGTACCTAGGCCTTGAATATGTGCGGGAGTGAAGAGATAAGGAGCAGAACCAAGCCTCAAGCATCAAGTTTCTGCCTTCTTTCTATATTTCAGCTAATCAAGATGCGCCTTTTAGACTATGACCACATTTACATAATAATGACGTATACTCTATTGTTCTCTGTGTATAAAAGGTTAAGCACCGCCCTGCAATAAACAGAAATGAGGAAGTAGTTGGACTGAGCAGATGTCTGTGTGTAATTATTTCCGGCGAGCACGTGCGATCCATTTCTCAAAATTAGGAATAGCAGCAGATATCCAACCCTGAACCCGATTGTGGTTCCCAAACCGTTTTTCAAGTGTGCTAAAAACTGACAGGGAGGAGAGCTCCATTGAAAACAATGCAACCTTACTCCCTGTCAGTGTTTGCCGGCAATCGCCGGGCTCTGGCGGGTAATCACCGGCCGGGACCCAGTGATTGACACCCGCAGCCACGATTGGTGCCACGTGCACGGTGGTCCTACCCTACCCTTAAATGCAGGATCAGGATTATATTCGTGATCCTGCGCACAGGGGCTGCCTTGTAGCAGTATATGTACTGTGGGCGGTCCCCTAGTGGTTAAAGTGATTCTAAAGGATATACTTACCTGCTGTTTGCAGTGGTTTTGCACAGAGCAGCCTAGATCCTCCTCTTCTCGGGAACCCCACGACTCTCCTGGACCCCCCTCCTGTAGGGTGCCCCCACAGCAAGCAGTTTGCTATGGGGGCACCTGCTGTTCCATGTGTCCATTCATACATGGAGCCCCGGCTCAGCCCTGCACCCTCTCTCTTATAATTGGCTCACTGGCGTGATTGACAGCAGTGGGAGCCAATGGCTCCTGCTTCTGTCTCAGCTAATGAGAAGAGGAAGTCCTGGGATAGCCAGTGCACATCGTTGGATCGAGAAGGGACTTAGGTGAGTATTTGGGGGGGGTGTTTTCAGACAGAAGGTAAAACCAGCTGTTATGAATTAATTTGAACCATTTGTTTCATGTGAATGCTTAAAACAACCGAATGAAATAAATACATTTTGTTTGGTTTGCTGTGAATTTATTCGGATTCTTTGAAATTTTGTTACTATTGTGATCTGGAGACTTGGACACAGTAATTGCATGTAAGAAATACAACGGGCTGGTTGTACCCAGACGATTGATGGATCAACTTTGGTCACCCAACCTGCCCATACATGGACCGAATCTTGGCCCTCTCTTGGAAAATAACATGTTTTCTCATCACGCACAGAAATGTGCTTCCCTTTAGCAGACACACAGCGGTGCCATTGATGGCACCCCCCATGCATCTGCTAATGTGAGCATTTTCATGGGCCTCAAACTACATGGTGCCGCAATACCACTGTTAGCCCCAGGGGGGGCGCAGTTCGCCATTTTCACCCTGTTGACCTTGATCTGGCACTGATCATTCCATTCATTCCTGGGGGTAAAATTAATGTTCTTCTTCTGGTAACATTCTTCTCTTCTACAGATTGTATGATACTCACCTGACAGACAGTTCCTGCCCCCACCTGGCATCTGGAATAAGAAATAACCCGACACTGAGGACACTGAACCTGTCTGGGAACAATCTGGAGGGTCCTCATTTCAGGGATCTGATGGCGGCTCTGACAACAAGCCGGATAGAGGGATTACAGTGAGTATAACAGGACTGACTGAGACAATCATATTCTGGGAAAGTATAACATTCCAACTATGAAAAAAATTAATTAATTTAAGCAAAATTGATCATTTTTGTCAGACTCTTTAGGTAGCCAATCCCAGACTGCTGTCCAAATCTTAGAATCATATCACACTATAATTGGCCCAAAAATATTTCCCATAACCTTGTTATAATCTGATATTGTATATAGTTTGGCAACAAGTAAAAGAGATGAGATTGTAGGAGGTCATACACGGGGGAATCTGATTTTACAGCAGTGACCAATCAGAGCCTCATATGAGCATCCTGTCACCTGTCCCAGGGGCGGACTGACAACTCATGGGGCCCCCGGGCAATAGAGGATCACGGGGCCCCTGTGTCCTTGCCCAAACTCAAAAAAGCATATGAAAAAGGTACCAGGGGCATCTCATGGGGCCCCTACTGACCCCGGGCCCTCGGGCACTGCCCGAGTTTCCAAATGATCAGTTCACCCCTGACCTGACCTGACCATCCGCTGTTCAGTGTCAAGGTGTCTCCCCATTACTTCCTATGAGTACAGAGCTCTGATTAGCAGAGAGAAATAGAATATCAGATACAATCCTCCCGTCCAATCACTAGCAATGCTGATTCCGGCCTCACACTGTCTGTTGATCCCATTCATGCTCCATACACAAGGAGATGAGATGGCCACCCCTATAGTTGTTTCCTCTACCGCCCTTCACACCACCCGCCCACAGTAGTGTCCTTTCCCCCCCTTTTTCCCCATAGCAGTGTCCTCTGCCCTCCCTTCCCTCCCATGGACCCTACCCTGGAGCCCTAAGGCAGCTTCCTAAGCAGCCTTATGCTGGCTTTATTTTCCTCCTGCAGCAGCCGAAAGCCACAATACGAGTCATGTCAGTGGTATTCTGTGCTCATCCTGTGTATGGAGATATCACCATCTCTACACATGGAGGACAATATTGGGGGGTCTACTCCATTATAACATTTGTCTTATAAAATTCTATTTCCTGGAGATTTATAAAGTGATGGAATATAAATGATTCCAATAAAGAGAAATGAGTTCCATTCATGTAGAGAAATAGTTCCATTCATTCCTGGGGGGGGAATTTAATTTCCTTCTGGTAACATTCTTCTCTTCTTCTACAGATTGTCCTCTAATCACCTGACAGACAGTTCCTGCCCCCACCTGGTTCCTGGAATAAGAAATAACCCGACACTGAGGACACTGAACCTGTCTGGGAACAATCTGGGGGGTCCTCATTTCAGGGATCTGATGGCGGCTCTGACAACAAGCCGGATAGAGGAATTACAGTGAGTATAACAGGACTGACTGAGACAATCACATTCTGGGAGATTTTTGGGCTCCATGCACACTAGCGTTTGTAAGCTCAATAAACGCTGGATAAAAACGCTGTGAATAGCGTTTTTTTGGGGTTTTTTAAGTAGCGTTCAGAAATGTTTAGGAGTGATAGCGTTTTATTAGCGTTTTTTTCAGTACATGTAGAGGAAAAAAAAAAATAGAAGCTAGAAAAAAAGCTGTTGGTATTGTTTAGCAGAGTTTAGAAGCGTTAAGGCTCCATGCACACTATGGGTTTTTTTTTAAGCTCCTAGAAGCTATTATCAAGGATCGCAGTCATCTACAGACCTCCCGGGTCCATACCCCGCTTCCTGGATGACTTTGCCGCCTGGCTTCCCTTCTTCCTCTCCTCTGAGCTACCGACCATCATCCTTGGGGACTTCAATATCCCCATCAACGACAACAACCCGGCTACTTCCCAAACTCCTCCACCTAACCTCCTCCTTCGCGCTCACACAGCACACGCAATCCTCCACCCACATCGATGGGAACACCCCTGGACCTCGTCTTCTCCCACCTCTGTACCCTCAACCAGTTCTCTAACACCCCCTTCCCTCTCTCCGACCCACCACCTCCTCACGTTCTCCATCTCCCCTTCCCCCAACTCCCCCCCCCAAAAGCGCCAAAGCACCACCAGCCGCAACCTGAAGCCGGCCCCCCCCCTCCACTCGGCCGTCGACCGCCTACACAACAGCATCCTTTCACTGTCATGTCCTGACCTAGCCACCACCATGTACAACGACTCACTGTCGGCTGCCCTAGACTCTCTGGCACCACTAACCACACGCAACATCAAACCTAGACCACTCCAACCATGGCAGAACGACATACTAAATGCCTCAAACGTCGCAGTCGCACACTGGAGAGACTATGGCGCAAAACCAGGTCCCCTCGTGCGTTCTCCCTCTGCAAATCTTCCTTCCTCTCTTACACCTCTTCCCTCCATGCCGCCAAGCAGGCCTGCTTCGTAAACCTGATCAACACCCTCTCCTCCTGAATTCGCCGACTCTTCTCCACCTTCAACTCCCTGCTCTCTCCCCCCCCCTCCTCCACTCAGTACCTCACTCACCGCCCACTCATTTCCACAACAAGATTGACGCTATCCATAAGGACATAGTCAACTCGCAATCTACCTCCCCACCTAGCCTCCCCCTCCCCCATCCCCACCCCCTCATCCCCCCCTCCTCTGTCCTCGCAAACCGCACTGCCCCCCACCACTCCCAAGGTCCCGCCCACCGTACCCCCCCCCTGCACTGCACTTCCTCAGCCCTGTCACCACTGAGGAAGTCACCACTGTCTTCTCGGAAGCCCGCCTCACTACCTGCCCCCTGGACCCTATCCCCTCTCAACTCCTCCGGTCACCCCCCTCTTCCCTCATCCACTCCCCCTCACCCACATCTTCAATCTCTCGCTCTCTACTGGCGCATTCCCCTCCCCCCCTAAAGCACACGCACATTACCCCCATCCTCAAAAAGCCCTCCCTGGATCCCGCTAACCCAAACAACCTCAGACCCATCTCCCTGCTGCCACTCACCTCCAAGCTCCTTGAGCACGTAGTTTTACGATCGCCTAAGCGCCCACCTAACTGACAACAACCTCCTTGATCCACTACAGTCCGGCTTCCGTCCCCTACACTCCACCGAAACTGCCCTCCTACTCAAAATCACTAACAACCTACTGCTAACCGCCAAAGCCAAGTGCAACTACTCTGTCCTCCTTCTCCTGGACCTCTCCGCGGCCTTCAACACAGTTGACCACCCCCTCCTCCTTAATAAACTACTCTCCCTTGGCATCAGAGACACCGCTCTCTCCTGGTTCTCTTCTTACCTATCCCGACGCTCCTTCAGTGTCTCCTACAACGGTGCCACCTCCCCCCCCTCCCTCCTCCTCTCTGTTGGGGTCCCCCAAGGCTCTGTCCTTGGACCCCTACTCTTCTCCATCTACACCTCCTCCCTTGGCAAACTCATACACTCCCACGGCTTCAACTACCACCTCTATGCTGATGATACTCAAATTTACCTCTCCACCCCTCACCTCACCCCCACTATCTCTCCCGCCCGCATCACTCACCTCCTAAACGACATATCAGACTGGATGTCGCTCCATTTCCTCAAGCTTAACCTCTCCAAAACCGAGCTCCTCATCTTTCCCCCCCTGCCCACGCCCCCCCCCCCCCCATCCTCTCCATCACTACTAACAACACCACCATCAATCCCGCCCCGCAAGCCAAAGTCCTTGGTGTCATTCTTGACTCAAACCTCTCCTTCCAACCTCATGTCCAATCACTTACAAACACATGCAGGCTCCATCTCCGCAACATTGCCAAGATACGCTCCTTCCTTACCCCCGACACCACTAAACTACTCGTACACTCCCTGATTATCTCACGCCTGGACTACTGCAACTCCCTCCTCACCGGCCTACCCCAGTGCAGGCTCTCCCCGCTTCAGACCATCCTGAACTCAGCGGCCAGACTCATCCACCTCACCAACCGCTCCACTCTGCCCACCCCCCTCTGTCATTCCCTCCACTGGCTCCCGGTTGCCCAACGCATCAAATTCAAACTTCTAACCCTGACCTACAAAGCCATTCACAACACTGCCCCTAACTACCTCACCAACCTGATTCCCAGGTACCACCCTACCCGTACCCTTCGCTCCTCACAGGACCTCCTTCTATCCTGCTCCCTGGTCTCCTCCTCTCACGCACGACTGCAAGACTTCTCCAGGTCCTCCCCCATCCTCTGGAACTCACTACCCCAATCCATCACACTGTCACCTTCCCTCCTCACCTTCAGGCGCTCCCTGAAAACCCCACCTCTTCAGGGAATCCTACCCCACCCTCACCTAACAGCCGCTGCTCCTTCCCTCCTCCCACCACTCCATCCCCCACAGCCGTTTCCTCCTGTGCCTCTACCCCCTCCCTCCTAGATTGTAAGCTCGAAAGAGTAGGGCCCTCTAACCCCTCGTGTGCTGTTTGTTATTGTTGTTCTGTTTCATGTATTGTCCCCCCCTCTATTGTACAGCGCTGAGCAAACCCTTTGGCGCTATATAAACTCCATGTAATAATAATCATATCAGCATTTTTTTTTTGTGCTCCTAAAAGCTAAATAGTGTTCTCTTATGTGTCCATGCACACTGCTTTAGGCTAGTAGTGTTTTTTTTAGAGTTTTTTTTTGGAGCTTTTTTCCAGCAGAAAAAAATGCTAAATGCTCCTAAAATGCTATTAAAAAAATGCAATTACCAGCATTTTTTATCCAGCATTTTTTGAGCTTAAAAAAACACTAAATGTCCATGGAGCCTTAGTGTTTTGTTTTTTGTTTTTTTTTCTGCTGGAAAAACGCTTCAAAAAAACACTACAAAAACAATTTGTTTTCTGATCCTAAACACAGAAGCTCAAAAAATGTTAATAGTCTAAAGCAGTGTGCATGGACACATAGGAGAACACTATTTAGCTTTTGGGAGCAGAAAAAAAATGCCAATAACAGCTTCTAGGAGCTTAAAATATGCTTGTGTGCATGGAGCCTTCTGTTCACATTACAGAAGTAAAAATAAATGTACAAACAATGTAAGTATTTATTTATTTCAGGTACTTATATAGCGCCGTCAATTTACGCAGCACTTTACATATATATTGTACATTCACATCAGTCCCTAACCCTCAAGGGGCGTACAATCTAAGGTCCCTAACCCTCAAGGGGCGTACAATCTAAGGTCCCTAACCCTCAAGGGGAGTACAATCTAAGGTCCCTAACCCTCAAGGGGAGTACAATCTAAGGTCCCTAACCCTGAAGGGGCGTACAATCTAAGGTCCCTAACCCTCAAGGGGCGTACAATCTAAGGTCCCTAACCCTGAAGGGGCGTACAATCTAAGGTCCCTAACCCTCAAGGGGTGTACAATCTTAGGTCCCTAACCCTGAAGGGGCGTACAATCTAAGGTCCCTAACTCACATTCATACATACACATACTAGGGACAATTTAGACAGGAGCCAATTCACCTACCAGAATGTCTTTGGAGAGTAGGAGGAGACCGGAGTACCTGGAGGAAACCCACACAGGCACAGGGAGAACATGCAAACTCCAGGCAGGTGGTGCCGTAGCTGAGATTCTAAACTGACAACCTTTATGCCCTTTGGAAAGGCCAACGTCAGACTGTTGTCTAAGTCTTGGCACTTATCACACTCTGTTATCAGCCATTAACTAGTCTTTACCCTAAAACTGAATAAAATGCAATATTCTATGTAGTCAGAAAGCTCTGGAAGATCGATCTGCTATCCCCACAATCCTATATACAGTCAGGTCCATAAATATTGGGACATCGACACAATTCTAACATTTTTGGCTCTATACACCACCACAATGGATTTGAAATGAAACGAACAAGATGTGCTTTAACTGCAGACTGTCAGCTTTAATTTGAAATAAATAAATATGTCCCTGCAAGGAAACATCATAATGTGCTAGAATGCATTTCATACCAGCACATAATGAATGACGTACCGTAAAGTGGTAGTGAACTCTTCTTCAAAACGTTTACCTGCAGTGAGCTTATAAGAAATCTTACCTATAGGTAAAACGAATATCTCCTAAATGTGCGCTCCGTTTAGGAGATATTCGCTCTTTATAAGAGCCGATGCGTGCACTCTAATGGAAACGTATACCCGTGCCGTTCCTTCGGAGCACTGTGCCGCGGCTTTGGACTCCCACGCACGTGGGGACATACACGCGCAAGTGGCCTGTGGTTGTGGGGGTCCGCACGCAGGGGGCTTATAGGAATCTGGAAGCCCTCATTAACAAGGGGGCCCCCAGATCCCAGTACCCCCCCCCCCCCATGTGAATGAGTTACCCATTCACACAAAAAAAAAAAGTGTAGTATAAAAAAAAGACAGGAGACAGTCTTTGGTAAGTCCTTTATTAAAAATAAAAATTAAAAACAACGTCCCTCGAAGTAGATCCTTAAGTACTGTCATAATGTCACAAGGAGGCGGGGGTTCACCCCTTGTGACATCACGTGGGGCGAATATAAATGATTCCAATAAAGAGAAATGAGTTCCATCCATGTAGAGAATAGTTCCATTCATTCCTGGGGGGGGGGGGATTCATTATCTTCTGGTAACATTCTTCTCTTCTTCTACAGGTTGTCCTCTAATCACCTGACAGACAGTTCCTGCCCCCACCTGGCATCTGGAATAAAAAATAAACCCGACACTGAGGACACTGGACCTGTCTATGAACAATCTGGAGGGTCCTCATTTCTGGGATATGATGGCGGCTCTGACAACAAGCCGGATAGAGGAATTACAGTGAGTATAACAGGACTGACTGAGACAATCCTATTCTGGGAGAGATTTATATTTTGTCTAATTCTTTGATATTATCACACTCTGTAATCGGCCTTTAAACGGCTCCCGCCATACAAGGAAGAAATGACGGACGCAAGGTGGTTCTCTCGTTCTGGGAGGATATCATATGACGTCCTCCCACTTTAACTGCGCGTGCGTGCCTCCGAGGGCGAGCAGCGCGGCGATTGGAGGTGCACCGATCAACAGAAAAAACTGAAGACGTCGGCTCGGTCACATGATCAGCTGTGTCCAATCACGCTACCCTGAATAAACTATTGTTCTAGGAATCGGTTGTCGCTGACACCTGGCTATACACCGGGATAGAATGGGATCAAAATTATAACAAAACTGGTGCTGCGCTCCCACACTTGTACTTATATAAATAATTAAATCAAAATGAGGTTTCAGTGACACCCCTAGTGAATCCTCCTGTGTGTAATTATCACAAACTCAATTCTTCATATTATTATACAATCTTATCCAGTGATGTTTGATAAATCATATGACATAAAATATAAATGTGCAAAACACATAAAAAACACAATCCATAAACCCACTTGTGTCCCTAAAAAACAGGATGAAATCACTAAACCACACGTGATAAAACACTTGGCATAAATGAATGCCCGAAGGTGCAGTGCAAATAAACTGACAAACATCACTGGATGAGATTGTATAATAATATGAATTGAGTTTGTGATAATTACACACAGGAGGATTCACTAGGGGTGTCACTGAAATCTGATTTTGATTTAATTATTTATATAAGTACAAGTGTGGGAGCGCAGCACCAATTTTGTGGATCAACGATCCACGGAAAGAGCCGAAGATGTCGGCTCGGTCATGTGATCAGCTGTGTCCAATCACAGCTGATCGCATGTAAACAGGGAAATGCCAGTTATGATATAAACTATAGGATATAGGAGAGCCGGTAATCGGCATTCCGCGGAGGGGACATGTACACTGATCATCAGAGCACTGATGATCAGTGTGCCCTGATGATCAGTGTAGCCTCAGCAGTGCCAGATATCAGTGCCACGTGCCAGTGCCCATCAATGCCACATATCAGTGCCTACCAGTGCACATCAGTGCCACATATCAGTGCCCATCTGAGCTGCCTTTCAGTGTCACCCATCAGTGCCACCTATCAATGCTAATCAGTGCCGCCTATCAGTGCCACCTATCAGTGCCAGTCAGTGCCCATCAGTGATGCCTGTCAGTGCCACCTACCAGTGCCTCCTCATCAGTGCCCATCAGTGCCACCTATCAGTGTCCATCAGTGCAGCCTATCAGTGCCCATCACTGCAGCCTCATCAGTGAAGGAGAAAAATCACTTATTTACAAAATTTTATAACAAAAACTAAGAAAAAAGTTTTTTTTTTTTCAAAAATTTTTTGGTTATTTTAAGAAGAAAAAAAAACCCAGAGTTGATTACCACCAAAATAAAGCTCTATCTGTCACAAAAAAATGATAAAAATTTCATATGGGTACAGTGTTGCATGACCGCAAAATTGTCATTCAAAGTGCAACAGTGCTGAAAACTGGAAAATGGCCTGGGCAGGAAGGGGGTATAAGTGCCCTGTAGGCTTGTGGTTAAACTTCTTTCTGTTATCTCTCTGTTGTGTTATTGCTCTCTGTATTTATATATATATATAGGCTACGTCTTTTTCTGTAAATATTTTTATTACACCATTTTGACCTTTTTAGTAATAAATCCTATTTTCTGGAAAGTGTTGAACTGTTTCTAAAGCTCTTTAATGCAAACTAGGAATCCCTGTCTCTGAAGAGCGCTACTGTGTGTTTTAAACTTCTGCGTACATCTGCCTGCGGTGACAGTGTGTATACAGATGCTTATTCAAACATCATAGTGTTACTGCTAATATTGGCGAGTTTCCTCTCTTTCTCTGTACAAAAAGGAGGTGGTGGCAGTGTGAAGGGTTAATTGCGTAATTAACCTGACCCAGTAACAATCGCTCTCAGGCTGCGGCACATAGATTGTGGCCAGTGAGCTGGAAAATCTTTGTGCGGGGTGCAGCTGCGCGTGGCATTGTTACGGACGTGACAGCGCGGTTTTACATTGGCTAGTCCTTCTGTCACAAGTTGTGAGAAGGGCTGGGGGTCTGACGCTGCACCCGTCACACCTTCTACTAGTTTTGCTGCAAATAATTTATTAAGGGCTCTTTGTTATTTACAGACTTAGCCTCTGATTGGCTGCCTGCAGCCTTTTATTATTGGTTGAGTGCGAGGGACAGCTCTTTGACTACGGTAGTCCTCAGATCACACATCCCTAGACTCCTGTAAGGGGTATTTTGGTCTCAGGCTTGAGAAAGCAAGAGAAACTGCTACCACTCGAGAGCAAGGGAATAAAAAGAATTTCAGCCGCTTCCCTGCCACCCTTTAGCAGACATACTGGGGTGCGTATATATACGTGTGTGATGGGAGGTAGGCAGGACAGAACACACAGAGCAGATGATAAACACACAAAGCTTTATTAAAGAAATGACAGTCACTCAATTGGGGTCTGCAGGTAGAGTGGCAGTACCCAGTTTAGGGGAATAGCAAGGAGAGGGCTCAAAATAATTGTAACCCGGCCCCAAGGGGGGGGCAAAGTTAGAGTCACTAGCAAGTTGTAATCCAAGTAGGGAGAAGAAGGGGAAGAGAGTTCAGCAACAGTCCACGGGAGAATAAAACAGGGGTGCATACACTCACGACTTCGGCGGGGATGCCTGGCTTCACAGCAGACGACAGCCAGGGGGGCGACCCTCCTCAGCACAGTAGAGGGTCCTAACAGCAGATACCAGTCCTGATTCTCCAGCAACAGCACACAGCACACCTGGGCCCGCAGTATGGGCAGTATAGCAGCAGGTACTTTCCCTAAGTCCGAGGTATTAGCAGCATACTCCGTGGGTAATAATCCTCCTGGTTCTATTAATAAATGCAGAGTGCCAGCGGTAATAATCCCCCCGATTCTAAGTATCTGCAGAGTGGCTGTGGGGGTCTCGCCTCAGTGTAGACCTCCCGGCAGCCACGCAGTGGATAGAACGAGCCGGAACGCTCCCCACCGGCTTTCTTAAGGCCGGTGTAGAGCGTCCCGGGTCGTCCTGGCAACCGTGGGTAACGTGCCTCATCGCCCGGCAACAAGGCATGCCCCCTTGACACGGGCCGCGCTCTTGGGAGTGCGGCCTTTGTCAGTCGGCGAGTGCAGACGGAGGAAACTCCCGTGCCTGCGCTGCTTTCGCCGGAGCCGTGCGGCGTCAGGCTGACTGCAGCGGCCCGGAACATCCCTGCGGGGGTCCGGCCCTTCTCCACCTGGAGAGGTGTGAACCTCACCTCAGGGAACTATTTCTCCCCCTCAGGCTGCTCCTGATGGGGAGAGATAGGGACAGAGGGTGACAGGAGTCACACCTTTCATTCTGGACTGCCAGGCTTCAAAGGGCCATGACAGGATGAGAGGGGGGAGATGTGAGGGAAGCTGCGAGGAGGGAGAGCAAGCCTGGCACACTGTGACAACGTGATTTTGCATTTCCGGGTAGGGGGCGCTCGTGAGCCCTACCCGTGCCACCATTCGTGGCCGCAGCTGTCAATCACCTGGTCCCGGCCAGTAACTACCCGCTGCATTACCAAGCATCTCCAACAAGGGGGAAGACTGTTTTTTTTTTTATTAAGTCTTCCTCCCTGTCAGCTCGGGCACACTGCACAGCACAGCCATCCAGAGCAGTGTGCTTACATTGACCCATACAGACACCGCCCCCCTAGTAAAACACTCCCAGCACATAGTTAACCCTTTGATCGCCCCTCATATTAACCCCTTCCTGTCCAATGTCATTAGTGCAGTGTCATTGTTTTTTTTGTTTTGTTTTTTTTTTAGCACTGATCACTGTATTTGTGTCACTGGGGATGTCAGTGACACCAAGTCAGTTCCCACCCCCAGTGTCAGAGTGTCCGCCGCTGTCCGGCTATAAGTCGCTGATCGCCTCCATAGTAGAAATACTAGCAGAAAAAAAACTCCCAGTATCTATACCGCCATTTGTAAATGGTATCACATTCACGTAAACCAATTAATTCACACGGATTGGGATTTTCTTTTAGCAAAGACATGGAGTAGAATACATTTTTGGTCTAAATTTATGATGAAATTTAGATTTTCTTTTAAAAAAATTTTTACTGGACAAGTTTAGTAGCAAAAAGTCAAAAATATTGTTTTTTTTTTTTCTCAAAATTGTCGGTTTTTTTTTTTATTTTTATAGGCAAAAAATAATAATCGCACAGGTGATCAAATACCACTGAAAGAAAGCTCTATTTGTGGGAAAAAAGGATGCAAACTTCATTTGGATGCAGCGTTGCATGACCGCGCAATTGTCAGTTAAAGTAACGCAGCGCCGTTTTGCAAAAAATGACCTGGTCAGGAAGGGGTGGGGGGAGGGGAATCCTCTGGAGGGCGAGGGGTTAATGCCTGTTTATCATAGCTATTTGACCTACTGTTATTGTCCTGTCACTGCGTATCCTTGTGATTTTGTTTTACTGCAACATTATACAAATTTGGGTCATGCCTGTAGTTGACTTATAAATCCTACGAAGTATCGGTGACTTTACATTTGTATCTTCTGCCCAAAGTATATGGGAACCCAGAGTGTCAGAGGTTTCGGGGGGGCTTGCAATGTCAGGGCAACCCTGGGGACAAGCAACGTCCAGCAGTCTTGTGGGGGTAGCGCTGCACAACACTTTTTTTAAAAATTCTATTTCCTGGAGATTTATAAAGTGATGGAATATAAATTATTATTATTATTATTATACAGTATTTATAAATCGCCAATAGTTCGCTCAGCGCTGTACATTACAAAGGGGGACAGATCATGTGACAGAACAATACCAATACAATGCAAAACATGAGGGGATTGAGGGCCCTGTTCCTTGGAGCTTACAATCTAGGAGGGAGGGGATGGTGGCACAGGAGGAGATAGCTGTGGGGGATGGAGTGGTAGGAAGAGTGGAGGAGGTCGGCAAGTTATCAGGGGGTGGGGTAGGCTTCCCTGAAGAGATGGGTTTTCAGGGTGCGCCTAAAGGAGAGGAGAGTAGGTGATAATCTGATGGGTTGGGGCAGGGAGTTCCAGAGGATGGGTGACACCCTGGAGGCGGGCATGGGAGGAGGAGACCAGGGAAATAGAGAGAAGGAGGTCTTGTAGGAGCGGAGTGTGCGTGCTTGGGCGGTACTTGGATATTAGGTCAGTGATGTAGTTCGGGGCAGTATGGTGGACAGGCTTTGTACGTCAGCGTTAGGATTTTGAATTTGATCCGTTGCGCAATCGGAAGCCAGTGGAGGGATTGGCAGAGGGGGGGGTGGCGGAAACGGAGCGGTTGGAAAGGTGAAGGAGTCTGGCAGCCGTATTCAGGATTGACTGAAGCGGGGATAGCCAGCGGCGAGGCAGGCCAGTGAGGAGGGAGTTGCAGTAGTCGAGTCGTGATATGATGAGGAAGTGGATGAGCTGTTTAGTGTTTTCTGGGGTTAGGAACGTGCGGATTTTGGCGATGTTGCGGAGGTTGCGGAGTCTGCGGAGGTGGAGTCTGCAGAGTTTGTTAAAGATTGGACTTGGGGCTGGAAGGATAGGTTGGAGTCCAGAATGACACCAAGTACTCTGGTCCGCGGGGCGGGTTTGATGGTGGCGTTGTTGGATGTGATAGAGAAGTCAATGGGGGGTGGTGGTCTGGGGCCGGGGGGAAGACAAGAAACTCGGTTTTGGAGAGGTTCAGTTTAAGGAAGTGGAGCGACATCCAGTCTGATATGTCGCTCAGTAGGTGTGTGATTCGGGCAGAGACCGAGGGGGTGAGGTGGGGGGTTGAGAGATAGATTTATGTGTCGTCGGCATAGAGGTGGTAGTTGAAGCCGTGAGAGTGTATGAGTTGGCCAAGGGAGGAGAGGTGTAGATGGAGAAGAAAAGGGGCCCGAGGACAGAGCCTTGAGGGACCCCAACAGAGAGGGGGAGTGAGGGGGAGGTGGTAGCATTATAGGTAACACTGAAGGAGCGTTGTGACAGGTAGGATGAGAGCCAGGAGAGGGCGGAGTCTCTGAGGCCGAGGGAGTGTAGTTTTTTGAGGAGGAGGGGGTGGTCGACTGTGTCGAAGGCCACAGAGAGGTCAAGGAGTAGGAGCACTGAATAGTGGCCATTAGCTTCGGCGGTTTGAAGGTCGTTGGAGAGTTTGAGTAAGGCGGTTTCGGTGGAGTGTAGGGGACGGAAGCCGGACTGTAGGGGATCCAGGAGGTTGTTGTCGTTGAGGTGAGAGCATAGGCGGGTGTAATGATTCCAATAAAGAGAAATTAGTTCCATCCATGTAGAGAATAGTTCGATTCATTATCTTCTGGTAACATTCTTCTCTTCTACAGATTGTCCTATAATGACCTGACAGACAGTTCCTGCCCCCACTGGCATCTGGAATAAGAAATAACCCGACACTGAGGACACTGAACCTGACTGGGAACAATCTGGAGGGTCCTCATTTCAGTGATCTGCTGGCGGCTCTGAAAACAAGCCGGATAGAGAAATTCCAGTGAGTATAACAGGACTGACTGAGGCAATCCTATTCTGGGACAGATTTATATTCACATTACATAAATAAAATAAATGTACAATAAATGCATTCTAACCTGACAACCTTTATGCTCTTTAGAAAGGCCGATGTCAGAATGTGGTCTAATTCTTGAATCTGGTCACAGTCTGTTATCAGCCATTAAATAGTCTTTATCCTAAAACCGTATTATGATCAGGGTAGTCTTATCCAGCGGGCACCGCCCGGGGCCCCCAGGTGCACATGGGGCTCTATTAGGGCTGGTCAAATCTAGGGGGGGGTGCTGCTGGCAGTGCTGAGGTGGCATGGTGAACTGCACTGCACTGTCTGCACAATTTTTGACTGTAGTTTTTTGTTAGCAGCCTGCGGTGAGTTGTCATCATTGCTGCTGTCTCGGTGGCAGTGGCTCCATCTCCACCCAGCCGGGAGTCAATGGCTGAGAGAAGGAACACTGTCACGGTGCTGTCTGTGGCACATGGTGGAGTGAGAGGACTGACCTATGAGAGTGCAGGGCAGCTATCTAGTACTGGGCAGTTAAAGAACAGTCCACAGCAGCGGAAACTGGCAGATATAATGAGTGGTGACAGCGGTGAAGCAATTGAGGCACCTGGTGTACCAGCGATTCTAACTGAAAGCAATTGCACCTTCAGCAGAGATCACAGGCAGACCTAGCTACATACACTCACTGGCCACTTTATGAGGTTCACCGTGCTAGTCCCGGGTTTGACCCCCTTTTGCCTTCATTCTTCATGGCATAGATTCAACAAAGTGTTGGAAACGTTCCTCAGATTTTGCTCCATAGTGACATGATAGCATCACACAGTTTCCTCATATTTGTCGGCTGCACATCCATGAACCACTGATACAAGGCAGGAATGGATCCACCACACCATGACACCACCAGCCTGAACCATTGATACAAGGCAGGATGGATCCACCACACCATGACACCACCACCACCAGCCTGAACCATTGATAGAAGGCAGGATGGATCCACCACCCCATGACACCACCACCATCAGCCTGAAACCATTGATACAAGGCAGGATGGATCCACTACACCGTGACACCACCACCACCTGCCTAAACCATTGATAGAAGGCAGGATGGATCCACCACACCATGACTCCACCACCACCAGCCTGAACCATTGATGCAAGGCAGGATGGATCCACCACACCATGACACCACCAGCCTGAATCATTGATAGAAGGCAGGATGGATCCACCACACCATGACACCACACCGCCAGCCTGAACCATTGATGCAAGGCAGGATGGATCCATGACACCACCACCACCAGCCTGGACCGTTGATACAAGGCAGGATGGAGCCATGCTTTCATGTTGTTTACGCCAAATTCTGACCCTACCATCTGAATGTCGCAGCTAACATCCAGACCCATCAGACCAGGCAACGTTTTTTTTCAGATCTTCTATTGTTCAATGTTGGTGAGCCATGTGAATTGTAGCCTCCGTTTCCTGTTCTTAGCTGACAGCAGTGGCACCCGGAGTGGTCTTCTGCTGTTGTAGCCCATCTGCTTCAAGGTTGGACGTGTTGTGAGTTCAGAGATGGTATTCTGCATACCTTGGTTGTAACGAGTGCTTGTTTGAGTTACTGTTGCCTTTTTATCATCTCCAACCAGTCTGCCCATCCTCCTCTGACATCAACAAGGCATTTTTCTCCACACAACTGCCACTCGCTGGATATTTTCTCTATTTTGGACCATTCTCTGTAAACCCTAGAGATGGTTGTGCGGGAAAATCCTAGTAGATCAGCAGTTTTTGAAATTCTCAGACCAGCCCGCTGGCACCAACAACCATGCCACGATCAAAGTCACTTTAAATCCCATTTCTTCCCCTTTTTGATGCTCGGTTTGAACTTCAGCAAGTCGTCTTCACCACGTCTAGATGCCTAAGTTGCTGCCATGTGATTGGCTGATGAGTAATTTGTGTTATCAAGCAATTGAACAGGTGGACCTCATAAAGTGGCCGGTGAGTGTATATCCAGAAGGGGGTGAGAGTAAGGTACCTGATCCTCAAAATCTTTCTCTCCTTGCAAACATCATGTGGCTTATCTGTGCTGTTCATACCCCATACTGACTCTCAGGCAATGAACCCTCTGTGTGCTTGGATGTTAGGGCAGGAATGTGCTTATCTACTCCACTTCAGTGAACACATGTAGGCCTGCCTGGAGAACGGTTAACCCTTTACAGCTTAACATTTGCGCACTGTTGCTTCTGGTACGAATGGCATTTAACACCTTTGCTTCTGCTATGGTTAACCCTTCATAGCTGAAACATTAATACAACCTCCTGCGCTTAGAGGCGGTGCTTAAGAGTGTGATTTGCCTGTCTGGCTACTGGATATGGCGATAAAGGTCTTGCTGCCCTCTCAGGACTGTGGGTGCCCTCGCATGATTAGAATTGATGGTACAATGAAAAGGGCGCACCGACCTAGTGCATTACCAAAAACCACAATTTTTATTATAAAATTTTAAAAAAAGTAGGTCATTGCTCACACATGTAATATAGTAGGCATATAGTAGGATGCAGATGAGACCACCTCTAGGACCATGGTACCCAGTCAGTGGTAAGGGAAGTCTCCACAGTGTCCTAAGGCTTACGTGTTTTGAGGGACAGAACCTCTTCTGCTTCAGCTGGGAGTGCCAGATGTCAATCCAGAGAGTTCCAGCCAGACAGCACCAGAGCCTGAGGTCGTTGCTTCAGCCTCGGGATTCTCTCCTGCATCTTTCTTTACAGATGTGGGAAAGCAGTCTCCTAGTTGGCTATTTCTTCTTTAGAACATCTCACAAACATACACTATATTGCCAAAAGTATTGGCCCCGCCCTCCCAAATAATGTGATTCAGGTATTCCAATCACCTCCATGGCCACAGGTGTATACAATCAAGCCCCTAGGCATGCAGACTGCTTCTACAAACATTGGTGAAAGAATGGGTCGCTCTCAGGAGCTCAGTGACTCCAAGCGTGGTCCTGTGATACGTGGCCACCTGTGCAATAAGTCCATCCGTGACATTTCCTGGCTACTAAATATTCCACGCTCAACTGTTAGTGGGATTATAACAAAGTGGAAGCAACTGGGAACAACAGCCGCTCAGCCACCAAGGCGTAGGCCACGTCACATGACAGAGCGGGGTCAGCGCATGCTGAAGCGCACAGTGCGCAGACATCGCCAACTGTCTGCAGAGTCAATAGCTAAAGACCTCCAAACTTGGTGTGGCCTTCAGATGAGCACAACAACCATGTGTAGAGAGCTTCATGGAATAGTTTTCCATGGCCGAGCAGCTGCATCCAAGCCTTCCATCGCCAAGTGCAATGCAAAGCGTCGGATGCCGTGGTGTAAAGCATGCCGCCACTGGACTCTAGAGCAGTGGAGACGTGTTCTCCGGAGGGACAAATTACGCTTCTCTGTCTGGCAATCCAATGGACATGTCTGGATTTGGTGGTTGCCAGGAGAACGGTACTTGCCTGACTGCATTGTGCCAAGTGTAAAGTTTGGCAGAGGGGGGATTATGGTGTGGGCTTGATTTTCAGGGGTTGGGCTTGGCCCCCTAGTTCCAGTGAAGGGAACTCTTAAGGCGACATTTTGGACAATTTCATGCTCCCAACTTTGTGGGAAGAGTTTGGGGATGGCCCCTTCCTATTCCAACATGACTGCGCACCAGTGCACAAAGCAAGGTCCATAAAGACATGGAGGAGCCAGTTTGGGGTGGAGGAACTTGATTGGCCTGCACAGAGTCCTGACCTCAACCCCATAGAACACTTTTGGGATGAATTGGAGTGGAAACTGTGAGCCAGGCCTCCTCCCCCGACATCAGTGCCTGACCTGACAAATGTGCTTCTGGAAGAATGGTCCAACCTTCCCATAGACACCCTCCTAAACCTTGTGGACGGCCTTCCCAGAAGAGTTGAAGCTGTTATAGCTGCAATGGGTGGGGCCAACTCCAATATTGAACCCTACGGACTAAGACTGGGGGGCCATTAAAGGTCATGTGCGTGGGAAGGGCGGGGCCAACTCAATATTGAACCCTACGGACTAAGACTGGGAGGCCATTACAGGTCATGTGCGTGGAAAAGGCGGGGCCAACTCAATATTGAACCCTACGGACTAAGACTGGGAGGTCATTACAGGTCATGTGCGTGGAAAGACAGGCCGACCAATACTTTTGGCAATATAGTGTATGAAGAAAAGTGCAATTTCTAATTATAGATCAGTCTGGATTTTGTCCATCCTGCTCTGTTGAACTTCTAGGACTAGCGCTGGACTCTAACAAGAGGTGTCAGTGATGCAACTAGTGGATTCCAGTTATAAGTGACTACGTTTAAGACTGACAGATTTTTTTTTTTTTTGTGTGTCCATTTACCTAACCATGTCTCTATTCCGCAGGTTACACGGATCCTTTTAGATCTATCGTTGTCTATCGCGATTATTTCACTTTGGAACCAGCAATCGGAATTCTTAAAGTTTACATATCTTAGTAATAATTTTATATTTTATTTGTTTTTCACCTTCAAAATGAATTTTGCTGGTAACCGTTACCCACCTGTGCCTTATTCGATCAGCAGTGACTTGTACCTTATGTGGGGAAGCACAGAGGTCAAACTGTTGATACAACCTGTGGATTGCCGCCGTTTATGTCCAAGGTCTCCGCTTCTATTTGTGGTTTAGGCTGATGTTTTGGGGGCAACTTAGACAACATTGTCTGATATTAATGACGGTGGAGGGGTATGTTCTTTTGCTTGTTGTATTCAATGTTGTGATAGTTTACAGAAGTAAAGATATTCAATATTTAATTTGAATGCATTAATAACTACGCCACGTGTGTCCTACCCCATCATCTTATAGCTGGAAACTCTCTTTTCTGGTGTCCTAATCGTTGGTATACAGTCTGGGCTGTAGGGACCCCACTAATTCAGCGGAATGGCACCTAAAGATTATTCTGAACCCTTTTTATTTTATGATTTCTTATAATAGTCACTGGG